CAACCTGTGTACCTGAAGCAGATCCTCTTGGACCCCTCCCAGCTGGCTGGGGTAAGTTTAGGTTGTTGTTTCTTCATCATTAACTTGGGTACCTACATCTGTGATTCTCAACTAAACAGTTTATCTTCAATCACAGAGAAAAGAGTGGAACCCAATGGACGAGTTTATTTTGTCAACCATAATACAAGAGCTACTCAATGGGAAGATCCTCGCACTCAAGTGTAAGTGGTTGGTTGTATCTATGTCAAGAACAGGAAAGAAAAACTGAAACTATTGGGTGTTACCTTTGAGCAAGTGCCAGTTAATTGGGACACTCATATTGATTATCTACTTAGTAAGGCTAGCAGTAGGTTGTATATTTTAAGAATATGTAAATATTATGGCTACTCTATTGAGAATTTGGACTTACTTTTTCAAAGTTTGATTCTTTCAGTTTTTGCATATGCTATTGAGGTCTGGGGGTGCACTTTTTATAGTAAATATTTAAGTAGAATAGCCCATTTGCGAATTACCCTTGGCCTCATTTTCAAAACGAGTCCTCGTGCTCAACCATTCTTGTGAAATGAGTTTAATTGGCAAGTGAATGAAAACTTATTATCATAGGAAAGGATTAGCATGAGGACTCGTTTTGAAAATGAGGCCAAGGGTAATTAGCAAATGGGCTATTGATAAGCTCTTTGCCAGGTGTTATAAGCTGGGTTATTGCTTAAAGCAGCACAGTATCTTGGATATCCGTCGTAATAGAGATAAGAAATTATGGCAAAGGATCTCTTCCACCAACACTGCGTTGGGCGATCTCTTACCTCCCCAGAGAACACGGCAGTTGAGAACTAGGTCGCATAATTATATTTTACCTAAGGTTCAGACACGCCGTTTTAAATCTGTTTTTATTGATCGATGCACGTCTGTTTGCACCATAATTCTTAATAAAACCTTTATAACTTATTTGTGTATTCCTATAAGGAAGATATGTTGGTTTTGTTGTTGTTTTTCTTTTCCTCAATCAGTATGGTTGGTTCAGACACACCACTCCCTAGTGGCTGGGAAATGAGATACACAAATGAAGGAATTCCTTACTTCGTGGACCACAACACTCGTACAACAACATTTAGCGATCCCAGAACAGGTGTTGCGCTCAGGTGAGTGAGCACTTTGTTTGTGGTAGTCGCATAACTAAGAATTACATAAAACATGTGAAGATGAGTATGTGTGCAAATCTCATACATAGGTATGAATACGATAGTTAAATTTCAATTTTTGTTTAGCTTCCAAGTTTGAATCTACAAATTGGGTGAAGATCTACATTCAAGTATTTTTGTCCAAAGATAAAAAAGGGGCCAGGGGTATTGAACTACATTAAACAATAATTAACAATTTTCCGCTATAGTGGAGGTGAATATCTACAGTGTACCTCTTTTACCAATACTTAAGTAAATAATTGTTTTTATTATTTTTGTTGTTTATTTCATTATTTTATGTTTTTTTTTCCTAGTATTAAAGGTGCAGCTGGTGGTCCAGCTTATGAAAGAAGCTTCAGATGGAAACTTGGACAGTTCAGACATCTTTGTCAGGTTGTCCTTTGTGTAGTTGATGTTGTCTTTATGTTGTTAATGTTGTTCGATTTGATAACTGTACTAGCATGTTACTCCAGTCCTTAGATAGTAGATAGTACATGGACTAGAGCAAAGTAATGAATGCCTTCCTTTTAGTCTTATTGAATTTTTGTTTCCCCTTATGTAGTCAAATGCTCTTCCAAGTCATATTAAAATCACAGTCAACAGAACCAACATCTTTGAAGACTCATTTCAGCAGGTTGGTGATGTTTGAAAAGCCTACTTGCTAAGGTGGCAGAAATAAAAAAAATAGAAACAACCAACCTCTAGCTTATGTTTTGAGTTACTGAACCGTACAAATCGTATGCTTCAATGACTAAATAAATGAATGGATAGTTTCCATTGGTCACTTACATATATATATGCTTGTAAATGATAACAGTGCTTTTAAATCTTGTGAATGATTTAAGTCCAAACTAGTCTTACAGTAACCTGCAACTGAGAAGTCTGTCTGCTTTCCTCGCCAGTCACCTCTAAGTAACTACGGTAGAATAATGGACTAATGACCTTTGATGCAACAAAGTATACACTGTAAGACAATTTGGAAGGAGATGGGAAGTTATTTACATGTAGAAGTCAGTTACAGGGTTTGACACCTGGCTACCTGCACCACTAGCCACCGGGCTAGTGATTTTTAAAATTTACTAGCCCGAAACGCAACTTGGTAGCCCGGATCAATTTCCTTCAAGGTCTACTTCAACCCCAAACACGCAAACCTTTCTCTAAATTTATTGGCAAGATCTTCTAAAATGATAAAGAATGGCATTTTTTCTTTAATTGTGATAATATAATGTGCTATTTATGGAAAAAGCTAAGTGAATTTTCAAGTGCAAGGCGATCGTGCGAGGCGATGTGCAAGGCATCGCAACATTGGTAGGGAGAAGACTGGGGAAGACATTGACCATTAAGCACAGAGTCTGGGATCTAGCAATGTTTATGATCTACACCCAAGACAAAAGAAAGATGCCCGAAGATGAAAGGCTTATGCCTTCTTTATTGGTATTATCATTATAATTTAAACTTTCTTGTTTTTTAATCAACTGCGAGCTTCAAGCAAACTAATTATAAATAGTTTCAATTTTTCTACTAGCCAGTGGGCTATTAAACGTGGCTTTTTACTAGCCTGACCAAATTTTTACTAGCCTCGGGCTACCGGGCTACCGGAGATGTCGAACCCCGCAGTTAGGACTTTTCTCCACCCACCTCTTCATAACATCTCTTCATGTAATGATTATTGCTGACATGCCAGATATTTTGATTTGCTCTGATGATATTTCCATTTTCTGGTGATATGAGGTGATGCGGTATCCTCCGCATGATTTGCGACGCAGGCTTTATATCATCTTTAAAGGAGAAGAAGGGTTGGATTATGGTGGTGTCGCAAGGTTTGGAAATAGTTCAATTGAATTGCACAATGTTGGCAATTATTATTTTAAGTTTTGAATATATCAGGGTTTGATGGTAAATGTCACTTTCCTTATCTGCAGGGAATGGTTCTTCCTTCTTTCACATGAAGTTCTTAACCCAATGTACTGTTTATTTGAATATGCCAACAAGAGCAACTACAGTCTTCAGATCAACCCAGGTATGCTATGTTGATAATTATATCTAAAGTTGGTAAACACTTGCATACAAGCAGCCTCTAGTTTTAGCATGTGAACACTCCATATCCAAAGGTATAAGAACCATGTGCTCTTGTGAAGACAAGCATGTTCTGGTATGAAAGTATCAACTGAATTATGATGGTCAAAATGAAACCTATGCTCAATCAGTGTTATTACAGGATGCAGTCCTGATGAGTGGGATATAAGGGGCCACTTGTAAGATTGTAGTTTAGTTTCTTTTTTATTTTTGACAGAAATTTTGTCACCGCATAAGAAATTGAAAACCTACTAAACCACACTGCAATGAGCCTGACTTGTAATTGTGGAAAACTAACCCAAAATCAAAGAGCCTATTTAGCCTGCCACTGTCATCTGTAACTACAGTGCAAGTTCTACATCAAAAGCCATCATAAGGAGAAAAATTAATTACCTGACAAATTTCAAGCTTGAACAGGGTGTTAACTGCTATTAATTAATAAACAAACAAAAGGTAGCGACATATTTTCAAGGCTGCAGTTCCTATATTTATCATTTCAATCAGATATTATTAATGTTGTATCATTCACTTTTGTAGAAACTTACCTGTACTCTTTTTTTTTCAGCATCATATGTGAATCCTGATCACTTGCAGTACTTTAGGTTTATTGGTCGTTTAATAGCAATGGTAAGTTAGGTGGGAATATTGTGTTTTTTGCAAGACTGTCATCTGTGATTATGTCCTGCAGAGTAATAACACACAGGACATTAGACATGTTAGATAATGTAACAGCCAGTTAATTGGAGCCTGTGACAAAAAACCTGTTAAAAAATGATACAAACTACATTCCAAGTAACAATATTGAGAAATACAATAAACTTGTTATTGTATCATACTACTAAGGAATTTAGTTTATTTGTATGGGTTTGAAAATGACCCAAACAATGGGGATGAGATTTTAACTGGAAGCACATTGCAGCAACTTTAAACAGTGATGCTCAAATACATGAATGACCTTTTTGTTTTGTTTTGTTTTTGCAGGCTCTTTATCATGGGAAATTCATTGACCGAGGATTTACTCTTCCTTTCTACAAAAGAATGTTAAATAAAAAGCAAACCATGAAAGACTTGGAATCTATTGATCCTGAGTTTTACAACTCATTATTATGGATCAAGTATGTATTTACAGGAACAGACGGTTTAATGTTAATTGTATGGAAACATGCACAACAAAGCTAAGCCTATTTGGTATTTCTGTTGCTTTTCCCATACACTGGCCCATACAGGCGGAGGTGACCTGTCTGCTATGGAAAAAATTGGAAAATAAGAAAGTCAGTTTTGAGTAAGACTTGTCTGTTTTGTTCATTGTGAGATGTACAGGCTGAGGTGACCTGAATGCTTGGGAGAAAATTGGAAAATGAGAAAGTCATTTTTGGTGAAAGTGTAAAATTTGTTTGTTTTGTTCATTGTGAGGTGTAAGCAGAAGTTGTCATAACTTACTTTGAACTTTTGGGGGTGGAAGCAGTATGTACAGGCATTTAGTTTAAAAATGGGTGGAAAGCACCTGGAAATCAATTTATAACTCATTTTGATCTCATTCATTCATTCATTGGCAAATGTATGAAAAAGTATTTCAGTTGTGAGAAAAACTTAAGTTTTGTGCAGAAAAACTACTACTTACTACCTGCACTACAAGGTTTCCCATGGATTGTATGACACAAAATAAATGTCTTCATTATATTTTGAAAGCTTCTTTTCATAGTTCAAAGATTTTGCTTTTTACACTTTTTTTTTTCTTACAGGGATAATAACATTGAAGAATGTGGCCTGGACATGGAATTTGCAGTAGACATGGAGCTACTCGGCAAAATTACTTCACATGACTTAAAGCCTAATGGCTCCAATATAAAAGTCACAGAAGAAAACAAAGAGGAATACTTGTCGTAAGTGTGATTATTTTATCACATTCATTTGGACTTTGTAAGTTAAAATTATTTCATCCTAAAAACATAGTTACATGTATTCACTTTTTTAAGTGGCTGGAAGTGATTTCTGTTCTAAAACTACCCAATACCTCAAATTAATTAAAAAGGAAAATCTTGATTTCATTTTCTTGTGGGAGTGGTGAAATATTTTCATCCCATATGTGGCTGCAAAAGCTACCTGCTATTGTCTCTAATAGCCCCATGTCCTGAAGTGGTAGTTGAGCCAGATATTGATTCACCTTTCCTAGTTACCCATATCCTTTCAATGCACACTGCTCTGTAGGCAAGGTTGAGTTAAATGCTGCCACATGCATTATGTACTAAAATAATAGGCATCATTCAAAGACTCTACTTATTTCAGCATGTTTCTCTGTCTTAAGGCTTATGACTCAGTGGCGGTTCAATCGTGGAATTGAGGAGCAAACCAAAGCTTTCTTAGAGGGATTTAATGAAGTTGTTCCTCTTTACTGGTTGCAGTACTTTGATGAAAAAGAAATGGAGGTATTTATATGATCTGATAACATTATATAACAAAGAAGTATAGCTAAAGGAACAACCAATTCTGCCTTTCTTACTGGCTACTCAGAAATGAGTAATCCATGCATTTGGTTTTAAAAAAATTAATTATTAGTGATTCCTTTGAGAACAATATTATAGCAAATAAGTAGTATGTGGTCTCATCTTTGGACTTATCTTTTTTCAGTTGATGCTTTGTGGAATGCAAGAGATTGATGTTGATGACTGGCAAGCAAACTCTGTGTATCGTCATTATACCAGGAATAGCAAACAAGTTACATGGTTCTGGCAGGTTTGTGGATTATATTTAACTGGGCTTGGCAGAATGTGACAACCAGAATTTGGCAACATCCATTGAATCATAATTGGAATCTCTGTTTTGCTGTCTCTTATTCAAATGAAAGCACTTGATTTCACTGACTACTTGCTACAGAAACATAATTTTCCTAGGACAAGAAAGGGGCATGAACTATATCGGTATAAATCAAATAAATTCTTGTGAACAGCCACCCAAAATATTATTGATCATGTTTTACTGTTGAGGAAATAAGTATCAATTTGTTGAGTGCCTCTTTTGTGCTTCTGGGTCTTCAGAATATGATACTCAATTAGAAGTTCTAGTCAAAAGCAAATAACAGTGTGTTGATGTTAGATGGCACATGTTATATTTTCAGGCTCTACGTTCTTTTGACAATGAACAAAGAACTAGGTTGTTACAGTTTGTCACAGGCACATGTCGTCTCCCTGTAGGAGGTTTTGCTGAGCTCATGGGTTTGTACACTTTTTCATTTCCATTTTTCAACCATTTTCATATTTTGCAATATCATTTGCAGTTATCAATTTCGTTATCAGTTTATCAATTAAGTTTTTCAAGGTTTACTCCCTAATAACGTTGATGTATCACTCCAAATATTCATTTATGATTTCATAATAACAAAATAATAAATGTTGGTTTTATTTCAAATAGTTTTGGTGGACAGAGGTCATGAAAATTGTAAATTGTGACATTTTCCTGTAACCAATATAAATAGAGAGGATTAGTTATCCCAGCATATAGTTTTGCTGAAGACTGTGATGTACCTGTGAAAATCAGACACACCTCAAATCCCTTTGTTTAACAGTGCAACTGGAGTGAACTTTGTTGACATTCTGAGGTTTCGGTGATTTATTTCTTATGTGCTATTACTAATACAGGGAGCAATGGACCACAAAAATTTTGTATAGAGAAGGTTGGGAAAGACACCTGGCTTCCACGCAGTCATACGTGGTAAGTTTTCTTGAATAGTTAAAATGTTTAGACCCAGGTTTTATCAATTTGAACCCAATTAATTTTACCCATATCCTTCTTTTTGTCCTATAGTGTTAGACTTTGCCAAAAATTGTAACCACATGAATTGTCCTCTTGCTATTAGAAAATGAATTGATTTACAGAGTCAGTCACAGATTATTACTTTTTAGTCAGGAGCACAAGTTACCACGGTTATTTTCTGAAACTTCTTATTGTTGTATTTACCAACCATTTTTTCATGTGTTACAGTGTATGTCAACATCATGATTTGTCTCTTTTTTTGCCTTTTTTTAAGCTTTAACCGCCTGGATTTGCCACCATACAAGAGTTATGAACAACTAGTTGAAAAGTTGACTTTTGCAATTGAAGAAACTGAAGGTTTCGCTCAAGAGTAATGCTGATTAGAAGCTTTGTACAACAATCATTTTGTATTCTATTGGTTTATTTTAACACTCATTCATCATAACATGCAAGTCTGGTTCAGTTAAAAATGACACAACAGGAAGTAGTTGAACTTTTCTGAAATTCATTTAGTATTAACAGTAAATTTGGTAAAATAGAGTGATTAACTATGTAGGGAGTAGCTCTTTCAACAACAAAATGCTGACTCTGATTCATGCAGCTCTTGGTGGTTAATTAAAGATGTGAATCATCTCTCTTTTACAGTGCTCACTGCACCAAAATGCAAAGGTAAGGAGAAGGTTAGAAATTGGTTATATTTGCTCTTTTGGATGTGCCTGAGAGGTTAAAAGTTTCAATCAACCCTCAGTTTTTGAAGACTCTCTCTACTTAGATGGCTATTTAGTGGTCAAATCCTCTTTGTAATTGCCTTTGTTAAATCTTGGCTCATCTAACAAGGCAAAAAATTGGTAGTGTGAAAGCTGCAGACATAGAATCTGTTTGAATCAGGCATATTGTTTTTGATATGATGATAGTTATCCTTCTTAAGGTTGCCCAAAATAATGGGTAAGTTTAAGTGGGACAAAGTAGAATACCACCTTTCTTACAAGCCACCATGTGTTGTGTGTTGCATTTTCCTTGTCAGAGAACACTTTGTTTTTGTAGTGTGATTACCTGGGCTGCCATTTTTAACTGGACTTAAAGGCTTTTAATATAAATACTATATTGGCCATATTTTTAACAACTAAATGCTAGATATGGCCTAAAGGTGGCACCACTTGTGTGAATAAAAAAGAGATTAAAATTAAGTAAAGTTTTGTGAGGGACGACTTCTGTAACATTAATTTGAGAGATTGAATTACATGGACTTCTGGTGACTGAGATACAAACAATTGTTTTGACCAAATTTACCCCAGTCAACTCTCCACAACTATATTTTGTAAAGTACTAGTATCAATTGCTGTAATAATTAATTTGTAGTATTAAAATGCCAAGCGTTGTTGAGATTTGTTTCATGTGAAGATGGATATGTTACCATTCAATGTATTATATCACAGGTAACATACCTTTAGTGGTTTAGGATAAGGTTGAGGAAGGGGTGGGGGAGGGCTTGATTTATGAAATTGTTCCAATGAAGATTTTAGCTTAGATTTGTTTCACAGCATGTGGCTGTTGTGTTGATATTTTTACAACACAAAGAAAACCTTCAAGTTGGGAGGGTTTCACAAATAAAGCTCATCCTGATCTGTGATGAGGGTCCCTCTGTCTCCCTTCCATTACTTTGTCCTGATATACTTTCCAAATGCAACTAAGACTTGTAAGATGATTAAAGCAACGAATTATTATTAAAGGTAAATTTCCTAAAGTCTTAAAATCTTTACTTCAATATATTCTGGGGCTTTCTTTTCAAAGCAGGTTTTCCCATCACACACATTCACACACACACACACACGCACACACACCCCCTCTGACAAGTTGCAGACATAGTTTAGGGTAATGTATTAGTTCTACAAAGCTCTTTTACTAGTAATGTATAACAACAGAGGCCGACAAGAACATGAATGTGAATTAATTTGCATCTGCCTGCATCAAATATTGTCAACCATCCTTATCAACTCACATACCTGTGTCTTAAAGGACATGGAGAGAGAGCTTCTGTGGTAAATTTTTGCTTTAATTGATTGTGTGAACCTTAACCCTTCAAAACAAAATTCCTAATCTGAAAAGAGCTTTCCATGCATCCCATTTCAAGGCTCCTGAAGTGAGAATTTCAGCCATTCAGTGAATACAGGACTGCTGAAATACAGACTAGAAAACAAGGGCCTAAATCAGGATCATTTTTTTGTCATTTCTTTGTACAATTCATACAGAAACACAAGACTAAGCTAAATAACTAGTAACAGCTCAAAATGGAGCTTTTTGTTTTCCTTAAGAGACTTTCACCCAAAGAACAAAAAATTAACTCAGCAGTGGTGAAATCTACTTTGACAAACTAAGGAAATACTTGTCAAATTATGAACTACACCAGAACTCACAGCTGCTACACACTTCAGCAATCATCTTTATTTGTTTTCCTCACAATTATAATACTCCAACAATGAACTGACAATGAAATATTTAAAAAAATAAATAAATAAGAGCGTTGTATATATTCTGTAACCCTCTTGGTAATTCTAAAATCAGACATTGTTCAGGTCATACCTTCCAAGACTACGTAGTGTAGTACACCATGAAGTGTAGCACACCATGGAAAGAAAAGAAGCACAGTGAAGAGCTCAAGTCTTGATCACCACGATTACTATATGTTATAAGCTTTGTCACGTACTGCCATTGAGAAATTGTATCTTAATCATGTCATTATCTCTCAAATTAATACTTTTCTAAGCTCAAACAGTGCCATTCACCTATGTTTGCTCAGGAGTGGTGTCAGCACTATGCCCTGGTCCTATTTTATGTTCAACACTTGGATGATGTTCAAAATCATAGTCGATATGAACAAAGGCTCTTTCTATATCTGAGTAACTTTCTAACTTCCTTTGAAGTGATTCACCAATATCATGAGCTTCTGCAAGTGTCATGCTAGGTGGTAAGACAATATGGGCCTCTACAAGAAAATGGAAGCCTAAATGGTATGCTCTTAATGTGTCAATATACTGAATTCTTGTGTCATGATTTATTGAAACCCACAGAAGCTTTTGTAACATGGTTGGTTGAGCAGTATGGCCTGTCAAGCCACGTATCTGCTCCTTACCAGTTCTATACCACCCTATGACTATGTAAAGACTTATCATAATAGCACCCAATGCATCAGCATTGGGCCATACTTTGTAACCAATATAACCAAATCCTAAAGCAAAAGAGTTTGAAACCATGTCATTCCTATGATCTTGAGCTAAAGCATCTGTTGAAGGTTTCTTTATTTGATGGCAATAAAGATACAGAGCCCCTTTAATAAAGACAGTTGCACCAATAATTACAACTGTGGGAGTTGAAATATCAGGATCAACTGTGTATTCGATCATCTTTGTGATAGATGTGATTATCACTTGTATTGAAGCCACAGCCATTATGACTGATAATACAATAATGCTGATTGGCTCCAAGCGGGTTTTTCCCACAGGGTATTTGTAATAATTAGTTCCTTTAATGGCATGACTTGTATACCACACAACAACACCCGAGACCAAATCTACAGTGCTGTCTACCAAGCTAGAAATGATAGACATGGAACCAGAAAGATATGAAGCCACTGCCTTAGCAATTAGCAAAGCAGTATTAAGGAACAAACTCAATTTCACTGCAGTTGACACTTTTTCAGACTGGTTATCATCCTCAGACCTGGTAATGAATGATGTGTCGCAGTCATTTTCCTTGATCTGATCAAAAGTGATTTTTGTCTCTTCCATTTGCTTGTAGTATCGTTTCACATTTTTCTCAACTGATAAAAATCCTGATTGTCTTCTTGACTCCTTAATCCAAGGTTTTAATGTAAACGTTTCAGACTCTTGGGTTTTTTTCTCATCTAATATAATATCATTACATGGTGCAATTTCTTCAAGGGTAACAAAAAGTGACGCTGAACTTGGCCTGACTTTTCTCTGTGTATCTTGCTGCCAATTAATGTTTGAACAATGCCATTCCATGGCATCAGGTCTCAAAAGGGTAGGACTTTCATCTCCCATTCTCTTTGTTTCAAGTTTTTCCTTTCTGCAAAATAAAACAATTAAGTAACAAACACAATTTTGAATCTGAAATTTCAGAGATTAAAGAACAGCATTTATCATCCAATGAAATATTTTCTTAAAACATGAAAAAAAATGAAGAGCAATTTGAGGAGCTTAAAACATAAGATAAGGATGATAAATGATGACGGAAATTGAGTGGAGTGAAATTTGGTCAGAAATCCTGTGCCTGATTTCAATATTGAATGAATGCACAGCACAAGTTGAATTTGAGATCACAGGTATGATTTCAGACCAAAATTTCACAACACAAAGTTCAATGGCCTCTTTATCAAATTTATCGTGAGGTCACAAAATTAAGTTGTTCCATCGATCGAATATTAAGCTGTTTCAAAAATAGGGTGCAATTTGATCACCTTTGAACCACAGGCATCCCAAGTTCATGTCACTAGCAAAAGCGAAGGATTATTTCTTGAAAGCATCACGTATTGTGTGACGTGGTGTTAAGTTGTGTGAGCAACTGTTGAGAATTTGAATGTGTTATAAGGAATAGTATGGGGAATAAAATATGGTCTATTTAAAACACTATATATTCCAAAATGTGAATATTTTACACATTAGATTAATAAAACTTACTCATTCCTTGTGTTTCTGTCATGTCTTTTGGTGATTTCTGCTGTTTTGGGCTTGCTTTGCCATCACTGTTTTTCCTGTTATCAGACGAAGTCAAGGCTGCACACTACAATTTCGACCATTGTCTACTCAGAGGTGATTTGCGCCCAGAAAATCCATCAATTCGGCAATTTTTTTACCCACAGGTTACGATCCAAGATCACTGCACCCTGGAAAGTGTCAACTGTTGTCACCCTGGAAAGTGTCAACTGTTGTCACCCTGAGTTGACAACAGTTGAAACCGTAGTGTGCAGCCTTGACTTCGTCTGATAACAGGAAAAACAGTGATGGCAAAGCAAGCCCAAAATGACAGAAATTGCCAAAAAACACAACGGAAACATAAGGAATGAGTAAGTTTTATTAATTAATCTAATGTATTCATATTTCGGAGTATTTAGTGTTTTAAATGGACCATATTTTATTCCCCATACTATTCCTTATGACGCTGCATTCAAATTCTCAACGGTTGCTCGCGTAACTTAATACCACTTCACACAACGCGTGACGCTTTCAAGAAATAATCCTTTGCTTTTGCTCGAGACATGAACTTGGGACGCCTGTGTTTGAACAAGCCAAGATTGGTTGTCCCGTTTTAGTAATGCTGTCTCACATGTGATTTAGAATGTAAAATGGTACAATTCATGAATAAATTGTACCGATGGCAGCCAATCAGATTGCAAGGATCACCAGTGATTTAAATTTGGTTCTTATCAACGGAGCAGGAGGTCTGTATGGGAGAATCTTGACCAAGGTCGTACCAGCGACCGAGGTCAAGATTCTCCCATACAGACCGACCTAGCTTGGTTAATAAGATGGTTATTATATGGCTGTGTCTTATATGCCAATTATTTATATTCTTTGTACCTTTTTTTTCTAGACCGGTCTAGATGGGAAAATCTAGACCGCTTTCAATATTGATTTCAGCCAATCAAATTCATGAATTCGGTAGTTCCCAGTCCTTGTGAGACACAGCCATATAATAAATGGATGTAATAAATAGATTAATTATTTGTCAACAATATTGTCATATCCCTCATCAACGAGGGGTAATGGACAGTGAGAGCCTTACGTAGCAGTTAAAAGGCCAAAATATTTTTTAACATGGAGTGGTGTTTAAGTTCCAGACAGAAAGGGGATGGTAAGACAGGCAAGAAAGTGAAAAATTTGATTCGTCAAATTACTGTAAGAAAAACTCTTTTAGTTTAATTTCACACGGACGAAACCCAATAATACTGGAAACAGATACCGACTCGTGAAATTGAAATTAAGGATATAACTTGCTTAAATGACAAATAATGAAAAAAGAAACCATCTTAGAATGTACATATATTGACAAAACGACGAGAGGTAACAAAAAGAGGACATGATAAGTGAGAATCTTCTTTACAGCATATCTACTTTAAACTTCGACAACCCTCCAATCATAATTCTACCGTCTAAATAATGAACTTAATCTTACCAGCTGTTGAGAATAAACAAGTAGTGAAAGAGGTTGCATCTACTTCACAGGCTGCATCTACTTCCAATAATTTTGCTGATGTAATGAAGGCTCCGGACGTATGGTTACAGATCATTACGTAAACATAGAAGGATAGCGTTAATGTGGTTGTGTAATGGACATAAGGTGTCATTACTAGCTGGTTTGTTTGATTTGGAGTTAGAATCGACGGTGCGAACTTTCTTATTTGTTTCTGTGGGGATAAATTCTTTTAAGAATGGTAAAACAAATATTTTACGTAACCCCCCCCCATTTTTGCCTTATATTTTCTAGATGGCCCCCCCTTTAATTCCGTTTTTTTTCGGTGATCCCCCCAAATCCCACCGGCCCCCCCCTACCTTGTAAAAGATGAACGGTCCCTAAAAACACGAATGACGAACTGGAAAATGTCACGCTTGCCAGTAAAACGAACGGCTATTTAAAAAAACCAATGTTGAACTTAAAACAAAAACAAAGTCGACGTCAATACACGAACGTTACGCTTGAATAAAACGAATGTTGATCTTCAAAAAACGAATGTCAAGGTTGAAAATAAGGAAAACGAATGACAAAGGTCACGCTTGAATTAAACGAATGTCGAACTCAGAAAACGACTATCAAGGTGAAATAAAACATAGTTAATCGATTAAGGTTAAATAAAACGAATGTTGAAGTTGAAAAACGAATGTCAAGGTTGAATAAAAGGAATACTGAAATTGAAAAACGAATGTTAAGGTTGAATAAAAGGAATACTTAAATTGAAAAACGAAGGTCGTATGTAAAAACGACTAACAAATTGAATTTTGATAGGAAAAACGCGCCATAGGCGGGGAGGGGGGCGAGGAAGGTCAAAATAGCACAAATTTTTGCTTTTGTTTTTGTTTTTGTCTTTGTTTTGGTTTTTTTCCCCGCCCCCTCCCCCTCCTTTTTGACCATTATCCACCCCCTCGGTACAAATTTCTTTCTCTCCCCAACCTTACGCTGCTGTAAAATCATTCATGGAAGCCATAACTTTTTTCACCACTGAAAATAATACTGCAGAATACTGAACATTAGCCCACGTAAATAACGCCCGCACAAATGCACTTTCGTGAAATCGATTCGAGAACGAACCTTACAAACGCAATTGGGAGTACAATACGTGATCGCTTATGTCAGTAATTTCCAGATTGCAAATCGTGAAGGCAATGCAGTTCTCAACATACGATGGAGTAAGAACTCAATGATCTTTTTTCACACTTTCATTCTAAAATTCATTTTTTGACGTGTTGTTGGACGATACTTCAAAGCCCATCGAGTTTTTGAACGTGAAGACAAATTAATTGAATTGAGATGAAGAACTGCCTGTTAACATGCGTCTTAATTTACTCTGCATTTGTTTGTGAAAAATTCTCGTACAGTCTGTTCATCCCGCCTAAAAATATATCTGAAGATTTTAAAACTAACGATGTACCTTGTGCAATGTTGTGTGAGTTATGTTTCTTATTTTTCTTATTTTTTTTTTCATATTTTTCTTTCTTTTTAAACTTAAACTAACTGTACTAAACTTTCTTTATACAGGTTTTCATTCTACACTTTTACACTTTTCATTTTAATTTAGCAGTTGAGAAACCTTTTTTGTCAAAGTACTGTGACTGCCACGGGAGAGACAAAGCACACATTCAAAGAATGTTAACAACAAATTCGATTTTTATTAATAGAAAACAATTGTCTTTAGTGTATGACTGTAGTCGACTATGGACTGTTGATCGCCATCGATCCTTTGCTCTTTTTTTGTCTCACGTTAATTGTCATTGACTGATTGCACTTCCTGCAACATTAACTTGGCCCCAAAAACCACCAGTATCAGCGTTTTCAGCAAGTATTACTTTTACTACGAACCAGGACAATCTTATGCAAGTGTTAAATGTGTCTCATGTAATTCTTCTCCATTCTAATTTTCTTGGTGTCGTGTCAAGAGGTGTGGTTTCTCGTTGCCTTGGAGACTCCATGTACGGCTAGCACTTGGAAGATTGAATATCTTGAGACGATGTGACCGGCTTCTCAATAGCTCCTCAGATGAAATTTAGTGCACTGAGTCTACAGCGATGTAACAGCAAAAGAAAATTGGTTACGTTCCATACTTCTTGCGATACAGTGGCGGAGGGAACATCTCCACCATGGCTTGCCAAGGTCTTTCCACCACTACTAAAGAACTGTCCTTTGTGAAACCTGCGAAGAGCAGAGGCTGAAAAACAAGGGAACAGTTTTTAATTCATGAACAAAGTACTCAAAAATATACCTCGCCCCCGATTGGTCAACCAGGAATTCATAAAAAAGTTTGATGTGTCCTAGAAAGAAATTCCGTAATAAGCTCCTTCCAAGTTTAAGATTTTTGCTCGTTTTGTCTGTAACAATTGCTGTCTAAAATGATCAATTCCAAGAAACATAAGAACTACGGCCTCGGGCGGTATCCTAGACCTGAGGCACAGTTTTTCCCAATACGGACCTCCCAGCAGGTGAATAACATATATAATGATAAAACGAGGTTGGGGTAAAATACAATTCACGACTTACCGAATATTTCCTACAGACTTTGAAGGCGGCCTGTTTCAAATCTTGTTCGACTACATCTCTACATGTTGATTGCTTTCTTTTCTGTTGTACTAACTTGGTATCATATAAACAGACCTCTGTATCTGGTAACGGCTACAAACCAAAAATGGAAAGGATCTTAAAACACATGGCAACAGAAAGAATTTTCCACGGTAAAAATAAAATGAGGAAATACCTCTTTAAGATCGAGGAGAGTAAACATGTTGTGATCTTGTAAGAGCATAACTTCATGACATGAAGGATTAAATTGAATGCTTATCACTTGAGATCGGCGAGTAGTCCACTGTTTGGGCAGTCCATGTTCTAACGCTCGTCTCGACCACTTGGTTAACTTTCCACTGGATGGTTTGAACAGATACACCTGTGAAGAAAATAAAACTCGCTTCAGAAGATTCCAAGAGCACACATTATGATTAAACCATGAAAATAATACACAAAATCTACTTGCTCTGCTATGAATCTTGCATGATGATTTCATGACCGTTGCACTAATCTGATAAAAAGTTGTCTGTAGATCTGCTTGTCAGTTGGTACACTCTCAGACATAATTAGTTGAGATACTTCTCCCGGACAACGTCTGAGGTTCTTTCCCCTCCCCCACTTCAAATGTCGTTAATCGCCAATGTTTCTATGCTATCTTAAAGACCAACTTTGAGAGAAGCAGGGGAGGTATAAGGTGTTCCACCAAATGTGTCTGACTGTTTGTTGGTCTGTCTATCTGCTGCTAGTCAGTTGCTAGGTTTGTCAGATGGTCTGTCTATCTGTTGGACGATCTGTTAGTCAGTACAGCAATCTTTTGTCTAGAACATGAAAATCAAGGAAAAACACGTACAAAGGGCACACAAATACTCACCTGATTATTGCAGCAGACTACAGAAAGAAAATTTGTTTTGGGTTGGAATGCTAATGAAGTCACACGGGATTCCAAGTGGGGTAAAGTACATTTTACCTGTTAGAAATAAAATGGATAAATATGTCTTAAAAGCCTTGACACCTATAATGCTCACAGTTATCTCTGTATACAGTCGTTTCCATTTACAAAGCACTCCATATCACGAAGAGATGCCCACTCGCAAAAAACCACATTGCTAACAAAGAGCACTCCTGCTCATTTATTTAAAAAAGTTTTGCTATTTCACTTATTTCATGGGTTAACACCATCCGTAAATTTTTTCATTGTAAGTGTTCATTGTAGTGTAGGTAGCACTAGGTTGATTAGGAATCACGTGTAAGTTGATAAGGGACATAAACCAGCGCGTGGACATGCGTGATGTAATTGAAGGTGTTATTCGCTACATTCTGTTACTATTCGTCACCGCCAGGAGAATTTGAATACAGCATCAAGATTTGTAACAGAACAGACCACAACACCAAACGAATGATAGCACTTTATCAGAAGCAAATGGATATACAACATCAAGATTTGTAACAGAACAGACCACAACACCAAACGAATGATAGCACTTTATCAGAAGCAAATGAATATACAACATCAAGATTTGTAACAGAACAGACCACAACACCAAACGAATGATAGCACTTTATCAGAAGCAAATGGATATACACATGGTAAGGCGAGAGAAAGTACTTTTCCCCACTGCCTGGAATTGGTTTGATATACCATTGGTTTGATTATATACCATTGGTTTGATTATATACCATTGGATTGATTGATGGCGATTGGTTTGATATACCAAGAAAAACAAACACCTTGTCCAGTTTTGACAAATCTTTTCAAAAACAGCAGCTCTACGGAGGACTTGTAAGTGATAAATTATTTAGTAAAGTACAAACTATTCTAGTTTAGTTTATTTCCATTCAGTGGGTCCTGAAGACCATATAGTCTTCAAGTACTAATACTACTGAGTACTGAGTAAAATAAAGGACATATTGTAAGTTGCAAATGAATATCCGCAATATGAGATTCCATACCTTCATTTTCGTGAGGCTGAATACAGTTAAGGTATTGTTATAATCAGCGCATGCTAACCAGTGCAAGTCACTGCTGACAGCCACAAGATTAACCGCTGCTAAACCTACACATCAAAAAAGTCACGGTTTACCATACGTTCACTGCCTTGATAGCTTTTTGCTTTTAACATATCTTTCGAAGCACAAGACAAGTTCTTAAGTAATTAAAGGAACTTTTTAAGTCCAAGACCCTATAACCAAGACAAGATAACGTACAATACACGTACCTCAAAAGAGAAAGGCGATCTTAACCAAATTATTTCATGCCCGATACATGTTTGAAGACTGTTCATTGAGCACAAGAAAATAACAAAGAAACAAAGTTTACTAATACCTTTATCGCGTTGAGCAACGCTTAACGTGTAGCTAAGAGAAGGTTCTTCACTCAGGTCCAAGATCTGAAGGCAGAACAACGAGAAAATTAAATTACAAATGACGTTATCCTATCAGATTTAAACAAAAAAGGGAAAAAAAAACTATATTAAAAGGATCAGATGCAAGTTTTGAAAAGTTATTATCGCTTCGAATCCCGTTGGCATACATTTTGCTTTTGAGAAACAATGTCCTTGACAGATTAACAAGTGCAACAAGTGTTGGAATGGAACTCCAAGAATGCCATGCAAATGCATGCCATGCTTCTTTGAATTAAGCCAAGCTATAGTGAGAAAACTAAAAGTGCTAAGAATGTATAACACAGCCCCCTGAGTCCATCTATCCACATTTTTTTTCTCACCTGAACTGAACCTTGACTTGTTGCAGAAATCAACTTTGAACTGTCAGGAGAGAATACTAATCCACGAGCTGGTAACAAATGAATAGGCAACGGCAAAACCTGCAATAACACGGCCAAAGTTTTAAGGA